TACCAAAAAGATGCAAGGATTCGACAAACGTTTTCAATAAAAGACTTAGATTCGTATTTAATAATTAGGATTTTACATCATGCCATGAGATACATATTTTGTATACAAACAAAAACTCCAACAATTGGATTTTCTCGATGAGCTTGTAACGATAAGTTTTTTTAAGGAATTCTCTAGATGAAAGGACATCTCGCATTTTACCAAAACGATGGGAGGATCCAAAAAAAGTCTTTGATAAAATGTTGTCAATTGTATAACTAATTTATCCCAATGGTGAGATGTCCTAAAGAAACTTGTAAAAATAAGTTTATTGAAAAATTCTCTAAGTAAAAGAGTTTTCCTAGATTTTACAAGAAAGATAGGAGGATCCGAGAAATGTCCTTAATAAACAATCTTAGTTCGTATTAAATAAATTGAAATTCATAACACTTTTATCATACATTTATTGCATATTCATTTCATGCATATTTAAATTTTGAAATAAAGCTCAAATGATAATCTTAATGATGAGATTTCTCTAAAAAATTGTAAAAGATAAGCTTTCTGAGAAATTCTCTAGGTGAGAAGACATTCTTGAAGTTTACCAAACAGATGGAAAGACTTGAAAAATGACTTCAAATAAAAAAATTATCATTTGTAATCAAGTAAAGTTAAAAACAAAAATAAATAAAGAAACAAATAAGGATTAAAGCAAATAAGGATAAAATTAAGGATTAGGGTTAAAATAGAATAATAAGTGATTATTTGGTACAATTCATCGAACAGACGTAACGAGGTGCTCTCCATACATAATCGTACTCCAAACCTAATATAAAAAACGTAGATCAAACTTTATTCTTTAAACGTCCTTAAAATTAATTTAAGACCTTATCAAAAAGGACAAATTCAATTAGGTAACTGATCATATCTAACAAAAAATATTGGTAGCGACTCATAAATTTCATGTCGAGGCAAACAAATCCCCGAACCTGCACGTTGCAACACTTACAAAGAGTTTTCTTAAGATTAGGGGGATTTCTTATGAACAAAGTGATGTCTTATGCCCATGGTGTAAACAAATAGAGCAAATGTATGCATATTCTTCTTGCATGTCATTTTTCAAGGGAGATGTGGAGCTTGATTTTTAGTTGATGGAACTTTCAATGGGTGGCTTCTTATTTTATATAGTGTCTGTTTGGCTTATTTTTTTTTTCAGTTTATCTATTTCTTAAAAGCAGAAGTTAGATCAAATAAGATTTTAAAGAAAACTCTAAAAAAAATATCATTTTTAAAAAAATAAATTATAAAAAATGAGCTTAAAGAAAAGCTCCAGAGATGAGCTTTCCCTTTTCTTGTTTTAAAAACACAGTAGCTTTTTAGAAAATACCCCTCTTTCAATCAATCTCCCTCTCCTCTCATTCTCTCTACAAATCACTCTTTTTCAATGCAAAATCATGATCTTCCTCTTCTTTATCCCTATCTACAAAGACTACTAGAAAAAAAAAAGACCCAATAATAGAATAGAAAAATCTAAGATTGTTTTGTTCTTATACAAATATTTTTTAAAAAAAACTCAAAATTTAAAACTGCATTAAGGTATTATTCAAAGGTTTTCTCTCTTCTTCACTAAAAAAAAAAATTATTATTATTACTATACAACTTTGAGAGTTCTTCCGTTTCTTTATGAATTTTTTTTATTTTTAACATTTGAAATTGTATACAAACATGAAGCAGACTTGTTCTGTTTTAGTTTATTAGGTAATTGAAGATGTCATAAATACTCGTTGAGGTAAATTTTAATCAAAATTAAAATTTATATAATTTTACCAAATAACTTACTAAATACTTTTAGCTTAATTTTAAAAGCTATTATGTTTCATAAGAACTTCATAATAGTCTTTAATAGAGATCTTGAAAATCTATTCTCACATAGCACACTAAGAAAGAGATGGATGTTAGTGTTGATTCTACAATATCAGTCTTTGTCGCTTGCAAGAAATTAATTGGTGTTTAACAATAAAAAATAGGAGAAAAGTGAAGTGGTCTTCATGATTTAAATGAGAGCTAAGTTTTAGATTAATGCTTTGAGAAGGAGAATGATGTTGAGGAAGTTGGATGGTGGACTATTCCTTGAATAATTAATAGAATTCAAGTGGTCAATAATTTGAGAAAAGAGATTGTCTGGATTCCCCTAAATGAGGGGGAACTGAAATTTAATGTTGATTGATCAACTGGAGAGAAACTTGGGCTGTTGGAGTATGGGAAATGCTTAGAGATTGTAATGGCAACGTAATGGGCCCTTTGCATGAACAAGAGTCTAATTGTGTAGAAAATTTAACCAATTGAACGACTTTATATTTTTATGTTGATTCTCCAAGGAAAGGTATTAAATTTTTGATGGTTGAGTCAAATTCATGTATTGCACTTTAATGGGTTCATAACTTGGATACTAGGCCATACACTTTGTGAAAGATTTTTGTTGATATTAGTAAGTTGCAGAAGATGATTGGTGGAGTTAGATACAAGCAGATTTACGGGGAGGCTAATCATTTTATGGACACACTTGTAAAATGGGAGTGAATTGAGTTAACATGTTCAGTGCGGGTTAGTGATTCGATACGTGCAGCAAGAATGGGCATAAATATATACATGTCTAGGATCAATATGCATTGTGTGTTTTGTGCTCAAAATGCAAAATGTTTCGTGACGTTAGGTGAATATTTGTGGCATGTTTTGATGTTTCATGTTTTTTTGAGGCTTTATGTGTATTGGGGTTAATCAAATTTATCTTATGTGGTTGTTTTTAATTGTGATGCTGTAAAGTTTTTTTTTTATTAATAAAAATGATTGTTTGAGAAAAAAAAATAAAGACACCGACAGTTTTGTTGATTTACTGACCGAAATTGTCAACAAAATATGTCGTCGGCAATATATTGATGGAAGGACTTTTCCCAATTACGACATTTTCGACTAAATATTGATGAAATTTTCTATCAATTAGGGTTTTATTTTTTGTAGTGGCTGCTCGTTTTCGTTCCTTGGTCCCTGCTTTATTCTTCTTAGCTTATGTCACTTGTTGGTGGTGGATGAGTTTGTACAATTTTCAGTTGTTGTGGTAATGTGGTGTAAGGTTTTGTAAATGTCTGTATATATACAGCGGAAACACCTTAGCTTGTAATTTGGTGTTAAGTGGATGTTTCTGTCTGAGGTTTCCCCTGTACTGCAGATGGTTCCATTGTTTTTACAATTCTTTTGACCTTGAAGTTTTATGATTGCTTGATGACTTTTCAAAAAACACAAAAAAATCGAGTTCGTGTTGCGCTACTAACTGGCAAGAAAGGAGGAGAAGTAAAAATACCTCTATTACAGCGCCGAAGAAGATGAAGAACAGGGGGAAACTAGTGAGAAAATTTTGACTTTTAATGAGTTCAGATAGTATTTAAGGTATTAAGATATGAGTTCAAGTGACATTTTTAAATTTTAATGGAGTATTTACAAAGTTCGGATACCTTATCAGTTAATAGAGTTCGAGATGAGGTATCTCCAAAATACCTAATATCCTACTTGTTGCAACCCTTGCTAAGAATAAACCTGAAAATGCCCTTCTTCAAAGCCCAAAATCCAGCTAATGGATAGCCAACAAGTCGTTGAACTTGCACTAAGACTTGCATTTCTTTTGTATGAAAAAAACTACTGTTTTATCAATTTTTTGTGTTATATTTAAATAAAAATATTATATTAGAATTTTGAGCTAAAAATCCACCACATTCAACATTTGTTGGTGCTCACTGGTTCCTTAATGTCATTCACTCTAATGTTTATTTTTGCACGAGTTGTGAATTTCACTTGAATTAGTACGAGTGTTTTGTCTTCCCTTTTAGTTTGGACAAATCAAATCCAATGGGTCGGCGGTGATGGAAAGTTTTTCAATAATTATTGAGATAGATGATTAAGATTGTTTAATTGATGTTTTTGTTATTAAAAAATAAAAAAAAAATTAGCTTTTTTCATCCTTTGTGGGTGCCCATGGCTGTTTGGGCCACACCACGAGAACATGATGAAAGATGATGTCATGGAATGGATTCCATGTTAGTAGGTGAATTTTTTTCCCCGAAGAAAAAAAAAAAGAAATAATGAATAAAAATGTTCCCTCCTTTTGCTTGAAAGGCAGCCCATCAAAAACGGCCAAGCTTCTACGATTGGTGGCAATTAATCACACCGATTCAAGCTAACCTTGTAGTATTAAGTCATCACCAGATTTTTTAGACTCCATTTGATTGATTTATATTTTATTTTTTATCATTTGTTTTAAGTTTTTTATTTATTTTTTATTTTTCCCTTTGTCTTTTACAAAAAATTCTAAAATATCAATTAAATGGAGTCTTAACATATGCTATTATTATTATTATTATTATTATTATTTAAGCCAATAATAAATGTTATTCATAAAAAAATTAAAAAACCACAAAAATCACTCTTAAGAATAAAAGACATCAGTCTAGAAAAAGAAAAAACATCAAAACAATAACAATCTTATCAAATGAACACCAAACAAAGAGCAATTTTGATTAATCCACCCCCAATTTTGCCACTATTTCTTATAAAACAGAACATGATCATTTTATCCAAAGGACTCAATTGGCACCTTTGAAAATTTTCTTGCTGTCTCAGCAACATTGCCCTTATCACGAGTTGAAAATGAGGTGAACGGAACATTAATGATATATTTGATTGTTTTTATCAACATATTAACAGAGATCTACTTGATACAGGAATTTTTATACTTATTATAGAGTAGCAACATGAGCAATTAATTAAGGTCTGTTGAGGACCATATAAAATTAATATTTGTAGTGATTAGCTAACCAAGATATTACAAAGGTACATGCTAGCTAGGGCAAGTCTTCTTGATTGGAGATATTAATTAAGGAATGAGCCATGGATAACAGAAATTGAATATAAAAGATGGGAAAAAATGGATTAGTCAATTAATCAATGAAGTTTGTACTAGTTGACAGAAATGATAATAACTAAATATCAAGCCAGCATAGCTTGGAAATACAATTTTGGTTACGTTATTGGCCCCCAAAATCATAAACATCATTTCAGGGCATCCCCAAACTATTTTCTCCATCAATTAGAGAGTGAAGAAACCATAAAAAAAGAAAGAAAAATAAATAACAAAACCCATTAAAAAAAAAGAAATAAAAAAGAAAGAAAGAAAGAAATTAAGGGTTTCATAACTTAAGAATAATATATCACATAAAGGAGGCGACTAAATTATGAGAAACATTTTTTGTTTTTGTTTTTTTCTTTTCCGTTGTTTGTTTCATTTCGAGTTTCAAGCACTCCTACCATAGTGCAGCACCATGACATGATCAGCTGTTGAGGTTTCTGGAAGCAAAGTGACTGCGTCTCTTGAACTCCATATTTGATCTCTTACATTCTGCAACGTCAAGTAAGGTACAAGCTGTTGCCCTCTACATGTTATCTCTATCTGCTCTATCATCAATCGCAATCGTACAGTTTGTGTTAGCGATTCAGCAATATATCCATTAATATGTAAAAATAAAAGGAGTATACACCAAACTATCATAGAGATGTGACTTAATATTACTGAAAGATTAAAAAAGAAAAAAGAAAAAAGAAACACAAACATGAACATGAAGTAAAAGAAAAAGGAAAAGATTTCACATTAGAATGCTGACTGCGGGGTCTTGTATCATGATGGACACAGGTTCACGAAAGCTAAATGTTCATGCATTTTTGTCCTTTTTTTTTTTTTAGGTGTTTCAAACCCTTAGGATACCTATACTTTCAAGTAACTTAATCTTCGTTATTTGTTCTTTTTTGTTGACAAAGTGACACCAAATATCACTTGAAAGCAACGAAAGATGTGAACGTGCGTGGGGAAGAAACTATTAAAACCTTTAAAGAAAAGGCAAAAAAGCAAAAGTTACTCCATATGCTAAAAACTGAGACTAATTTTATTTTGTACAAGTAGTATTGAAGTCATGCTTTGTCACTGGCTTACGTCTTACCCATGCTATGCCCCATTTTCTGTGAAACGTCTACTTTACCCATAAAATTTCTCCATTTCTCTCCCTCTCTCTCCAACTTTTCTTCTTTACTCCAAGAGATTCCTCATTCCTCCGAAATTGAAAAATGCTGCACTACTACTGCAACTTAGGTCAGCGGTCAGGCAGGAAAATCGACCGTCTACAGCCTGCCCGTTCATTCCACGATCTTAAATTGCCCGAAATTAATCATTTCGGGGCCCACCTAGACTTTACTCTTAAGCCAAAATCATGATCTCATAGACTTTTATTTTAATACTAGTATTATAATTCAAAAATAGTAGGCACAAAATAATTAAAAAGGATTTGCAATGGATCCAAAAAGCACGGCGAGGAATAGGCACCCATTTTTCATTTTTCGTTTTTTGGGTTTTGAAATGTTTTTATATTTATTTTATTCCTACAAAACGTAACTCAACACTTGTCACATTCACCAATCACATCTCATGCACGTCTTCTTCACGTTGCTTTCTCTCCATATTCCCAAAAACCCAAAAAAAAAATAAAAAAACCCCTAATGTCTAAAGTAAAAGGTCAATATTCCTTTCTTGGTAGTTGATTTTTTGTTTCGTTAATAAATAATTCTTAAAATGTAATAAGGTAAAACTAGCTAAGGTGGGGGAAAAGGGGTTAGTAGTTGTTTAATGGGTGGATGCTGATATCAAGGTGATGGATAAGGGATTTATTCCTAATATTTAATTCTGCATGCATTCCGTTCACCATGAATAAAGAACTCATTTTCATGGGGCTCCTTATCTGTCTCTTTATGCTTTTATTTTTGTTCTTTTTCAACAACTAGGAATGATTCTGTTGTGGAATTATCCCTCATGCATTGCTTTCCTCCGACGTAAAATATGTGGGGTTTTTTTATATTTTTTTTATAATATGTATCTATATATGTATTTTGTGGTTGGTCGTGGGAGTGATGATGGGGTCTTTTAAATTCCTTCAAAGGGCACCACTTCAAGGTTTTTCGATGGCCCTTTTGAAGCACAATCTATGAGAAAAAGGGAGAGAGGAGGCTTCAAAAAAGAGGGCGGGGCCTACAGTTAGCTGTCTGAGAGCTGAGATGAAAGAAGCGAAAGCGTGACGAAAGGAAGCGATAGCGCATGCAGATGGGGCGTTTGAGAATGACAGGGTCCACGTGTGATTTTCAAGGCCCTACGATATGATTCCCTTTGCTAGATGTCTTAATATCAAACCCTCTTCTTCCTTTTTTTTTCTTTCTTTCTTCTATGGGTGTGCTAATGGGTGTCAACTTAAGGACGAGATATTCCAAAGATGAAGATGTTTTTGATGTTTTTCTATATATCTTAAAGTCAATGGATTCTTAAAATATTGAGAAAAAAGGGATCAAACAATCCTTATTCAATTCCCACCATGAAGACATCTTTTTGCTTTTCCTTGCACCGATTATTATTGCCCTAGACTGTTATTCATATCCATGTAAAAAGAGAGAAACTAGAGATAATGGGCAATCATGAAACAAAATGGTGTAAAACAATATCTGTGGCCAGATACCAGTGTGGACAAAAATCAATGGTGGGAGAGCTAGCGATCGAGGATAATTGATTGAAGGAGATATCTTCCTCATCAAAGAGAGAGAGAGAGAGGTGTCCTACGTCTGCGCTAAAATCACTTGTAACACTAATCATTGGGTATTTTGTTGCATGCCATGTGAGAAAGGAGAAATATCTTATCCCAAGGCGACATAAACTAAAATCCTAGATGAAAATTTTATATGTGGCAAGGAGATTCACAACACCTGGGCGGTGCGAAGAATTTGCCAAATCAATGGCAGCCGAGTTGACCTAAATAGTTACATGGGGAAGTTTTTTTTATTATATAAAAGCAAGAGGAATGTTCAGCATGACAGGCATCCTATATTATCTAAACATATTTTATGATGTTCTAAAGATTAGGTGTAATTTTGTAGGTGAAGAATACAAACAAGCAATAGCTGTAACATTTGGGGTTTGATTGATAAAATAAGATACTGTCATAATCTCAACTGGATTACTTCATGGCATGAAGTGCAAGGAAAGAAACAAAAGTATATATGCATCCGTATCATGGCATAAGGGTTGACCTATAAATGCTTTAATTAATCAATTATATATAATATATATACACGCGAAAGTACAATATATAATTGATGCTAGTATAACAAAACATGAATGTCCAGGATATATCATAAATATAAATATATACATATTCTAGCCAAAGCTAACATATATAGCTTAGATGTTTTATGTGGCAGGGACAAGTCATACAAATAGTGCTGCAAAGGACAAAGAATGAAGGCCAATAAATGTAACTAACAACCTTTTTATTCTAACATGATATGCTGTCTGAGAAGGAGCTTCTCCTTTCATGAGATGGAAATGACGAGATATATATATATATATATGTATGTATGTATGTATGTATGTCAAAAGAAACAAAAAGAAGCAAAATGTTTCCCAAGCTAAGGCAAACAAAAGCTTCATTTTGGCTTTTATGGAAACAACCTATCCTCAAATTCTACGTAAAATTAGTTTAACTTCTTTCTAGAAAGGATGACTTGGTATACCTAGAAGATAACAAATTTCAGAGTGAAAAGATGCCAAAGTTCTGTCTAAAGCTAGTGGCGCTAGAAAAACATCAATGCACGTTTGTGTCCAGCTGTGAAACGCGTTTAGTATTTTCTTGGGCGAAACATATAGAAAAAATTATACACAAGTATGCATCTATTTCCAGTAATGTTTCATTTGGACCGTTGTTAAACCTAGTATCTCATCTTGTCCTCTGATTCTAACAGTTGCGCAGAAGAAGTGGCAATATATATTCTCCCTCTTAATTTATGCATTTATAATTTTTTGATTACCTATAATATTTATATGCATAGCATGCAGTAAAGTAAGCGCATACAGAATATTACAATATAAACTAAAAAATCTTATGGCCTTATGGCTTTAATGTGAATCATGATACTTTGTTATACACTAGAAAAGAAAAAACTGCCAATTTTTTCTTTTTTACTATTATTATTATTTCTCTTTTTGAAAAGGAAGCGTTTACTAATAAAAAAAAAATCAGAAGCTATTTCCCATCATTATTAGTGTCTTCTCCTAACTGCTAGGGACCTAAATTCTGAAATCAGTAAAATGAAAGCATCTTTTTGCATCTCTGGTTGAAACCTATTTCCCTTCAATAGATACAACTTATTCTTCTTATAAGAAGCTGTAAACTTACATTGCGCATGTCAAACTAACACCCATAATTAATTTACTACTTACTCATGTCACATGCATCTTCAAATTAATTAAAGTTTTTGTTTGATATTATAGTTGTCTGTGATAAGCTGAAGCTAAATGGTAATTGATGATTCTACAAATCAATCTATAAAATCCTTTTCATTGTGTAAATGTTGCATGACACGGACATGAACGGGAAGTTGCCATGACTTGTAGTTCAAATGTAATCACGATTTTTTTGTCCTTTACAGATTGTAACGTATGACTCCTTAGGGTGAGGTTTCTAACTAGAAATTAGAATGATCACCAAGCTGCTTTCAGAGCTTCCTGCGGAAATTTTATGATTTTCTTGGTGACAATTACTTTTGGCAGATGAAATTGGGTAACTCTACACACAAATTGTATCTCTTAGGTTTATAAATTATAATCCTAAAGTAGTATTTATGGAAGAAACTTTACTTTAATGTCATTATTGGGGAAGATATAATGGTATTGGATTATGAAGTGTGCAGAAGAAGCATTTCTTATTAAAGCGATGGGACGAAATATAATGTGAATCTAACAACTCGAGATACACAAAATTATTCACTTAAGTAGTGCACCTCGTGCACAAATTATTGTGGTATAGACCAATATTTTTCCCTGATAATGACTACCTATAAAACAACTCGAACTCATGATACGGATATTTTCACCATTGAGTATATGCCCCACATCACCAAAATAAAGAAAACAACTTAATTAATTTGTATTCAAACATCATGTGTAAGTGATTTCCTCAATGTGTGCAGGAGGAGGACTTCGATTTCACTTTGTGTAACATGCGTGTCTTTTTGTGCAATCATAAAGTTGTAAACAATTATGTCCATACTTATAAAAGCCTAGACACTTTTTTGATACGTACCTAATTAAATTTTTGTCTAATTATCAGGAGTATGGATAAAAACACTAGCTAATCAAACCATTAATAAATTAATTATTTCTATGTCGCTTTTAAAACAAAATACTTCCATCTACTTCCGCTATGAACTTCTCTTTTTTTTTTCTTTGATATTTGAGAATCAGCGCTAGGGTTTACAGGTTGACATTTGAACCTGTAAACCCTAGTGCTGATTCTCATTTCAATATCCAACTCCCTAACCCTACGTACCCCTACCCTTTCTTTCCCTGTCATGGTTATAATGCACTAATCTTCCGACCCAGATCATTAATGCCATGGCCAAATTCATAATTCTGAACATACTTGCGCTCGACAGTCGTATATATGAATTCTTAGGACGATGCCACCAGCCCTAATGTATCTTTGCTCCATTATACCGGCCGTAGTCGCTGTTTTACGGGATTCTACATGAGTTTTGAGAGCAAGCATATTTGTATGTTCAGCTGATTGAGGTGGTTAGGGGCTTTAACTACAGTCTTAAATTTTACATTCCCGGCGCTTTTACACATGTAACAAAAAGATTAAATTTCTTTTTTGGTAGATAAGTTATATACATTTCTCTAAGTCATTCCAAAGTTTTTAAGGTTAATGGCTATATATAGAGTAAAAAATAAATGACATTCGGATTCTACGTAACCATGGATTTTGAATTTTAAGTTACCCCTAACCTAATCAATTCATTTACTTAAAGCTAATTGTTCTATTATATGCTCTTTTTTTTTTTCTAAACAGTTAATCATAGAGATTAATCTTTGTATAGTTTTACTTTAGACAATACTTTGCTTGTGGTTCATCCTGTTTTCTGTGCAATTATGCCAGATCATTGATATGTTGCTTTCATATATACAAGTTTATGGCGTGAAATAGTAAGCCCATGTACAGAAGCAGGAAAGGCCATTCCTCTTTCATTTATTTTTGGGGTTGAGCAAAGGTGTTAGGTAGTTTTCTATATGTTATCTCCAAACTTCTAAAATTGAACCCTACACCTTTAATCCTGTCACTAAGAACATCCATAACTAACTAAACCAAGAAACTTATAACCATTTTAAATGACTCCTTACCTTGATTAACAAAAATTTAGGCAATCTTAAGAACGATAGGTGATGGCTTAAACAGCTAATGATACTAGATAAGAAAAAATGGCTACCTAGAAATACACTTCCCACCTAAATATGATGTTATCAGACAAGAAAAACTAAAAAAGAAAAACAGCACAGTAAGAGAGACGCCTTTAGTTCTGCTGTTTCTGTCATATCTCTAGCACCAACCATGTCCTAATTCATGAAATTAATTTACTGGATAAAAAGAAGACTCTCATTTTCTCTTTTTGTCTCTTTTATGCCGTCATGTTTTGCTAATCAAAAGCAAGTGAAGTATGCAAAATGAAGCATGGCATGGGCAGCTCAACATGGTAGCGTTTGAAAGGAAAAGGAGTTGCATTTATAGTTTTTATCAACGTACCTCTGATTCGCTGTCCAGTCTCAGCTTGTTAACCAGATACTTCATTAATAACCGCACTGTCATCTTCCCGTCCCTGAAGATTTCAAATATGTTGAAGACCAAAAAAACCGAAATACAGTAAGTTTTGTGAAGCACAAGACTTTTTATAGTTTGGGCGTTCCTATGAAAGCCTGGAATTACAAAAAGGAACTAGAAAGTGATAAATTGGAATAAAACAAATGGATAAAATATATTACTTGATTCTCAGATAGCTCTTTGGTATTTGAGGCAAGAACGGTTCTTTAGCTCTGAAATGAAAAAACCCAAAGTGAGCTCTAATATTTTTAAACAACCCAGAGTGACAATTAAAAAACAAAAGGGTAAGAAATTTTCAAACAAAAACAAAAAGTGGTCACTAATATTTTCCAAGTTATCTCCCTCCCTCCCTTTTTTCCTTATCTTATTTTGTACTTACTGATTTTGTGATGCTTGTAGCATAAACCAAATGCCAGAATGGGGCCTTCTAGGAGGATCAATGATTCTAACATCTGTGCTCGGCCCGGCAACATCCATTCCGGGTTGCACCTGAAATGGTCTGGCAAAGTAGGAGCCCAATGGCACCAAAGAAGAGGAAGACGATGAGGAGGAAGGAGCTGCTGCTATATTTTGCGATATAGGCCTAAATGCCCAGTTAATCTCTCCTTGAGGGAACGCGGAGCTGCTTCCTTGTTGGTGTTGAAAGAATAAAGAAGTACTAAAACTATGCATAACCGGTGGACGTGGAGCGCGAAACTCAGGCATATTGAAAGTAGGGGCTAATGGCCTTGCTTGTTGCGAGCTTCCTCCAGGTAATAGATCAAGCTCGATCAACCCTCCTCTTCTCGCTGTTGGATCCCCTTGATCGTGCTTGCGGTTATCATATCTTGTTGCCTGGCCCCCTATGCCGAGTTGGAGCCAACCTTCATCTCTCTCTTCTTGATTGTTATCCTTGGAGCTGGAGCGTTCTTCATTAAGGCTATTAGTTCTTGATTCATCTTCAGCCATGGGATTAGCACCTAGATCAGATCCTAAGCAAGCTTCACTGTGATAGTCATACCCGTGAACACGGCTCATAAGACCAAAACTCTCTGTATAACTGCTACCACAACAACCATAAAAACCACCGCCGCCACCGCGAGGAAGATGATGTTGATTAGAAAGGTTTTCAGCAGGAACCATGGTCATATCCGATAACCCAGAAACCGAGTATAATAAGAAGAAGGACGATGATGGTGATGATTTTGACGACGACTCCCCAGCTTAGTCTTGATCTCAGCATAAGCCATGGATGAAAAAAAGCGTTTCAATCTGTTGTTTAAATTGGAGAGAATAATCTATAACTACTGCCATAAGCATATCTTGGAGTTGAGAAATCAAGAAAGCGAGAGACACCCATTAACCAGAGACGAATCGTTGTTGCCTTTTGTTTCATTGTAAACATATCAGAGGACAACAAGGAGAATAAACGTTGTAAATCTCACTTTCCATTAATTCTCCTTTGTTTGGAAGCTTGTGGGAGAGTGAAATAGTTGCAGAAAAAGGGGGGGGGGGGGGGGGGGGGGAGAGAAAGAGAGATGTGGTCAGTCAGTCAGTTAGATTAAATAATGAATATATTGTATATATATTCTTAGGGAGGTCGAACCGTAATAGTTTTTGACTTTGTTAAGACGAAATATATGTTCCACCTGTTTCTAATGGGGAAAAATACGCAAGGGTCCCCAGCGAACAACTTTAGGGCATGTTCCAAGGATAAAATGACTGTAAAGGCTCTTTCTTTTTAGAATATCACAAAGGTCCTTTTAGTCCTAATGGGAGGCTTTAGGGAATGTCTACCCATCCACAAAAATTAAACTAGAACTTGGAATGTGTAAAAACAGACAACAGAGAACCATCACGTCGCCCCCTTGGCCCCATCTGCTCACACACGCGTCCCGTGTTTTGGATGCTGCGGATCATAATCATAATTAACAATTAATACTAATACTAATGCCTTAATTCTTCCAAATCTCTCTGGCTATTTAATTTCCTCAAACAATTCGGAGCAGCCTACAATATCAAACGCATTTCCCCTGCACCTGCAAAGCCTGTTCAAATTCTTTTTTCCTTTTAGAAAACAGAGATGTCAGTTGTCTGTTGAGAGTAATCTGATTATAGTATATTCTTAACAGGAAAAGGGCAAGTTTAAAAACTTGCATACTAAGGCCCTGGAAATGAGACAAGTGGAGAGGGCAGAGGAGTGGCAAGGCATAATGAGATTACCTGTCAAACAATAAGATATTAAGAACATCAGAGTATGTTATTAAGAGGTAATTATAAACAAATAAATGGGGACTTTGGCATGCATGATGGTGTTTCCCCATAACCCGAGAATCGAAACACAGCGACGTGGGCTTGGTAGGACATTCGTTGCCGAAGCATGTGCCCCCCACCCTCCCTGCGTTAACTGTACGAGAGAGCCCTTTCATTTGTTATGCTGGTTTCTCTCTCTATTTATGTTATTGTCTTTGAGTTAAAACTTGGAACAAGTGATTTAATAGTTGATTCATGACAACAATGGCTGCTGTTAGCTGCCTCATCTGTTCTGAAAAGCTGCTACTCTTTCTTTCCAGCCCATCAAACATGCCGCTCTCTCCCTCCTCGTTTCTAGCATACTAACAAGAAACAAAGGGGCTTTTTCCAAAAGGAGTCAATCAACCAATTTTTCTAACTGAAAATTACATGGAAGTAAATAAACACATCACCTGCCATTCTAGAGGGAGTTTGGGCGCCAGCATCAGGGATGAGTCAATTATATATACCCCATTTAAAATGTCAATTAATTTTGAATAATTAATTACTTAAGATTTTCAAGCTTCTAAAACTAATGTCATCATCTGACAACATTCTTTTTAGTCCCCATCCTCTTGACCAGAAGCCTTCAATTATTATTAAGGGATGATTAACATTTTGTCGTATTTCGATTTCTAAGCTATACAATACAATACGTTACTTAACGTTGCCACTTTGAGTTTAATGAGCAAAGAGCAAGAAATGGTTACCAGATAAAGAAATGAAGGAGTTTGATATGCGCTTCTAAATAAAGGGGGCAGTAAAAGATGGGAGGCGTGGCCTCTGGTTGACAGTGCATGGGCATGGAATGACTTAAGCTTGCAATAAAAGCATGAAGGCTAGGAGCATTGATGGGGATATCTTTCTACCAAAAATTCACCGTCAAGATTCTGGAAAGTGGACAACACCCCTCCCATTTCGTCTTTCTCTGTCTTTCTCGATCCAAGAGCCCATTTATCACAAACTCCTTATTATTACTGGTACCAGAATCATATAGTATTAAATATTGCTTTTGTATTCGCAAACATTTGATTTGAGAATGATTGCATAATTTACAAAAACTTTCCTTTCACACTCACATGTTGCGTTTTTATTTAATTTTAAACCTTCATTCACTGCGCTGTATGGTTGGGCTTGCCAGGATAAATCCCAGTCACACCGCAGCAAGTGCATGCGCTTGAAACTTGCCTAGAATTTGAATACGAGGATAGAATTACTCCTACTACATACTTTATATTCTATATATCACACTACTACTTTCAGATATTTTTTGAAATTTTGAAGGTACGGACTTGATTGTGAATTGAAGTATAGAAGAAGCATTTTTACACTTATATCAAAATCAGCCTGCCAATAATCTATCTATAATTAATGACAAAAACACAGATTCTTAGTTAAAAACGGAGGGTATGGATAATCATTGCTATTCAATTTACACATGGGGATCACTTCATGAAGCTGAGCTCATTCAAACATATTATGACATCATGTTGCTATAATATTAAGTTTGAAATCATGCTAATTATAGGCAAACATACATTTCTTTTTTTCTTTCTTTCTTTCTTTTTGAAAATTACGTGCTAAACCCATCTTTTTACTAATCCTATCACCAACCTTTTCGTTTTTGAAAGGAAGCGTCTAAACTCTTCATGTTGTCTCAAAATTACGGCATTGAGAATATAGTAAAATTACTTAGCAAGAAATTATTCTAGCGGCAGACGGTCTATGTGTGTGTGTGTATAACCATACATCTCTGCGGAACACGCTTGCTATTAGCTAAGATATATCTGATTTATAATGGCGAGGACGGAGAAGCGGGGCAGTACAAACAACAAACAGAAAAAGATGAGTTCAAAAAACAGCAAGAAAGAGCTGAAATTCTATGATTATGATTTGGGGCCCCAAAGGATATACTGAGTCCTCTGAGTATAATAACAAGCCCAACAATAAAGAGCCAAACAACTGAACATCTTAGCTTTCTTTTCTTTCAGAAGGGGAAAAGAGGGGGGGAAATACGATGGGAGCAAGTATTGGTGTATACGTAATAATCATGCATGGGATTCTCTCTCTCAAATTAAGAACCTTTGAAAAGAGAAGGAAAAAAAGAAAGAGAGAGATGGTTTCATTTCATGGATTAGAGTCCATGGAATTTGTTAAACTATCGTACTTTAGGGGGGACCGACTTATCATGGCTTTTCCAATGTGCATTGTTCCCATTTGAGAAAGTGCGTGGAGGGGTTCCCCTAATATTTCTCACCCCACTATATAGTTTTGTGGAGCTGTTGAGATAATAAAAAGGAATTAAAAGGGTTAAAACCTCGTCATCATACCATCATCAATGCCATCATCTTCAACATCACCCATCCAATGCATATATAAATTGAAACCCATCCAATGCATATATTAATGAAAGTTGCGACTCTAAGCAACGCAATTAGCCCAATTACCAAGTTACGGATCAGAGAGAGAGAGAGAAATGTGTGTTTGCATGTGCATGTGGGATAATGAGTGGCGATGTCAGTCCATGCATGTGAAAAACAAGTGGAGGTTTGATTTGTTGAAACCGAGACAAACAGAGGAAAGAGAAGCGAGTGCATGGCGTGTGGCGCGGAGGCTTTATCAGAATTTCAAGCACGGCTGATCTTGGGCTATGAATGCATGTGAAACTGTGAATCCTTTTGCCCTCACCTCTCCTTCTCTTCCTCTTTACACACACACACACACTCACACACACACACACACACACACACACACACACACACACACACACACATATATATATATATATATATATATATACTGACTGCTGTTCAATCTCAGTCAATTATAGTCAAACAACAGACTTGGAAGGTAGAATCTAGCCACGTTGCTGCAGAAGAATTGCTAAAGATTGATCAGGAATAATATCTGTTTCTGGTTTGTTTCAAAGAAAAAAAAAAAGAAAAGGGTAAAGGAGATGGGATCCTGTTCATATATGTAGTTTCATTTTTTATATTAATAATCCAGGGGTTTCTTTTCCTCTAGTCTCATACAGTTGACCCAAATGGTACAAATTCATGTAGTCAGTTATGATTTTTTCCTGATCAAAGCAGCCTAAATAAGCATCCTTTGAAAGTATGAACCTCTTTATTTTTCCACTAAAGGGAGATTGGAAACAATTAACTTGTGAAAGGCCTAATAATGTCTTAATTAGCTTGCCGATCCATCATCTCCAGTTGTTCACGTTGACGAATCTAAGTGCCACTTGAGTGCTCTTGTCACATCTGATCAAATTAAGACATCCTCAATTTGGAAAATACTTAATGTACATCTTGGTTGAGATGAAACCACAATATTTATACATAGGAGCAACAAGGACATTCTCACTTCTTTTTGTTTTTTATATAGTTTTTTTTATATAATTGGAGGAGGGGGATTCAAACCATACTCTTTAGATAAGGAGATAACACACCAACCAATGAGCCAAATGTTTGGGTGCTTATTTTTTATATAGTTATTTTAGGAATTGTTCTAATTTCAAATATATATATATATATATAGTTTCAAACTATGAACTTTGTTGATTGGCTGAGAAGAATAGTATTACTTTGGCAAATTAAGGTGAAATCTACCAAAGCCTCATTAATTCTAATCCCAATAGCCATATACATCACAAAAACTCAAGTTACACCCTGTGTTAATATACCTATTAGACTTAATATATAGCGCATATTCACACAGGGTTTTATACATCAATATATTCACACATGGAACACAAAAACAACCACATCATGACACATACATATTTGCCACAAGAAAACTATAACAAGGTCAAGTGATCCTTGTTTCCAATTCTTGCACGGTCTTTTGGCTAATTCATGAGCATTAATCCCTGCATAAACATATTAACCTCAAAGAAAGTTCCTTTGGAGTGGATCAAGAGAAACAAGCAGGGTACATTAAGTCGATTGGGATTCTGTATGTATAATGAAAGAAAATGGGGGACTTGGTTTTATCAATCTCTAATTGAAATATTGAGCTCTGCTAAACAAATGAATTTAGAGATATAATGAGGAGAAAAACAATCTTTGGAAGTCTGTCATCAACACCAAAAATTAGGGGGACCATAAGGATCTTATTCTAAGGAATTTTAGTGGTAGATGGCCTTTTTCCATGTGGAAAAGTATTATTTGCCCACTTACCCTTTT